TTTCACATTTATATTTTTTTTTTTTTTTAAAATGGAAATTTTTTTTTTTTTTTTTTTTTTTTTTTTTTTTTTTTTGTTTAAAAATACTCAGAAGCCTGTTTTATAATTATCATTATTATTTTTTGTTCTTGTTGTAATGTTAAATAAGCTGATAGATTTACTGTTGTTGTAGTGCTTCTCTCTGTCAGCATGCAGAGTATAGCATGGTGTATGACTGATAATGTGCTTAAACATGCAGTGTGCTTGCTTTTGGCAGAAGAGTCGGGTCTTTGTCTTTTTTTATTATTTGAAAGAGTGTGTTATTGTGCTCCGAAATATGACTGTTGTGAATTGTTTTTATATTGTTTTAATTCCTTAATTTTCATATTGTCCTGCTCTTACATCAATTTTATTTCACGGTAGTTTGTAGTATTAATACTTTGGATTTATGGCACAGCGACAAACTACTGCAATGCAAAACAAGCTACACAGAACTTTAGCATTGAAGTGGTTCATTTCCATATATATATATATATATATATATATATATATATATATATATATATATATATATATGTATATGTATTTTTTTCATTGTGCGTTCAAGAACTGAGCTGGATTGATGGGAAGAAGTTGAATTCTGCCAAGTAATTGCACAAGGGAGCAAATCCCCTACTGGCGTCTGAATAATAAATCATTCAAAGCAAATAAAGATGGACTTGAGGCTTGTTCTTTTACATCATCACATGCACACATTAAGTTATAGTAGTTATGAGACTATATGCAATCCACTGGTAAATCTTAGTGAATTAGAACATCATTTGAAAGCTTATCATTTCGTGCAGAAGGTGAAACTCTGACTTGGTGAAATGGCGACATATTTCAAGACCAAATATGCGATCATTACCCAACCAATGCTGTGCAGCACGGAGGTCAAGGAAGCCACGAGACTTGCCAACCTTTTGGAGAGTTTCAGTGATTGTGTGAACAACTGTCACACACAAAAAAAAATCTTCTCCAAAACTGTATCTGTCGAGACACGGCATTTCTTTATTAAAAATATTAGTAAAAATATGTTAATTGATCTGGGTTGGATACGTTTTGATATGTGTTTGATTTGAATTATTGGGGAAAAAAAAAGTGTTTCAATGATGACTTATTCTGGAGGACATTGTGTTATGTCTCAGTGTAAATCAAATGAAAGCAAAATCAGTGATATTTATCTGTTAGTACCAATACCAGTAGAGATGTAAAGCACTTTGAACTTTACAAAGTTCAAAGTGCTTTAAACTTGATTGATTGTGATTGTTAACATATAAATATAGACTAATGTTTGGGGACCTTGAAGTATTCTTTACACATAACTACTCTTTTTCTGTGCATCGAAACGTTTTTCTAACTTTGTCAATATAGAAACTACAAACGAAGACAAATCCCGATGAAAATGTACAGAAAGCTTTTCTTCATGTGACGGGATTCTGACTAAATTTACTTGCAGTTTTTGACCAGAAGATGGCGCCATTTGTCCAAAGTGAGCGCTCAAACAGATCACGGCTTCATGTTTCCTGACGTTATGACGTTCATTGATGATGAGCTCCGATTGTTGAAATAAGGTGGCGGGGAAATCAAAATCATCTTTTGAATTCTCTTCTTTCACTGATGCTGAAACAATGACAGCACACACACACACACACACACAGACAGAAAATGTAATATACTTCTTCCTGTAAAGGGAAGAATTTCAAATTGCTTTTAGTCACAACAAATTGGAAAACGTTTTATACCAGCTAAATAGAAAAC